GCGGATAGCGAGGTGGCAGAATGGAAGGGTAGCCAACGAGAACAACCGTTGGACAGTCTGTGGCTGCCGCAGGTCCCATGGCCAACGCTGCGATTGATGTGTCGGAATCCCTCGCTGTATTGTCAACTGATCAAGTCGCTAGTCTCTTTTCTATGATTGATTCTACACCTTCTACCTTCGAAAAAATTACAAGGTATGTCTTTTGCAGTTCCTTGAGAGTGGCTAGTAGATAGTGGAGCCTCTCATCATATGATAAGGGTGCTTTCTTATTTTTCTGATATTATTCTCATGCCTCCCTGTACTATAAGCTTACCTGATGGGGCTCATGTTGTTGCAAGTTCTTGTGGTCGGTCTCAAGTATCTCCCACTTTAACCTTGCATGATGTTTATACGTTCCAAATTTAAAGTGTAATCTCATGTCCTTGAGTTGTCTTATCAACTGTCATAACTGTCGTGTTTTCTTTGATGAACAATTTTGTATCATACATGACCAAACTACGAAGACACAGATTGGACATTGTGAAGCACGCAACGGAGTCCATGTCTTTCCCTTTCAAGCCCATGCGTCTAAAGCTGAGTCTTTTTCCTTGCTGCATCAAGAGCTTGACCATTTGTCTCCACAAGTTTTGTCTTTACTTCTATTTAATAAAAGTAGTGCTAAAATAAAAAAATCAATCTTGTGACATTTGTTTTAATCCAAACAAACTCGTTCTCATTCAATATTCCAGAGTGTTAATAAAGCCAATGCATTATTTGATTTGATTCAATGTGATTTATGGGGTCCTTATTCTCCATGTATATCTACTGGGTCTCATTTTATTCTTACCACTGCCAATGATTACTTTAGGACTTTTTGGGTTTTTCTGATCATTGACAAAAGTGTGGTCACAAGTTGTTTAAATTTTTTTTAGCTTGATTCAAACTCAGTTTGGTAAAATTATTAAAGTTGTGTGTTCTGATAATGGAACTGAGTTTCTAAATAAGCCATTGCGTCAATTTTACAATACCATGAGGGTTCTGGTTCAAATTTCTTATGTCAATACTTCACATCAAAATAGTCCTATTGAGGACAAACATAGTCATATTCTTAATGTTGCGCGTTCTCTAATGTGTGAGGCCTCTCTTCCTATTGAATTTGGGAGGGAAGAGGGGAGAATGTGTATGAACTATTGTCTATCTCATTAACCGCACTCTAACACCACTCTTACAAGATAAGTCTCCTTATGAACTCCTTTCTTCAAAACCTCTAGACTTGACTCATCTTCGTGTATTTAGGTGTTTATGTTTCGTTCGTAATGTCCAACTATCACCCTATAAATTTCACCTGCGCAGTGTCAAATGTATGTTTCTGGGATGCCCTAGGGGAACAAAAGGATGGCAGGTATATGATCTTGAGTCTCATCGTTTTTTTCATACAAGGTGATGGGCCGATACCTGATAGGCGGCCCAAGTCTCGTGCCCAAGAGGCGTTCAGGTACCCATGGGCGTGTGTGCTAGTCCTGGGCCGGTCCAAAGGTTTGGGCCTGGACCGACCCGAGCTGAAGCGGCCTGGGAGATCTGAAGTGGAGAAGGAGGCGCGGCTAGGTTGCGAAAAAGTAGCCGAAGAAAGGGGATCACGCGAATCTCGGATTAGTTCCCATAAACTGTAAACTACCATAATTACGTAGAAAGAACATATATAAATAGGGAGGACCCGAACGGGAAACCTCAAGCCAAACCTAGCATATAATTCCATAATTCTCGATTTCTCGTTCTTGATAATTCTTACAATCCGCCGATTAAGTCGAATTATTTGGTGGATTTATTGTCCATCAAATTGGTGCTTTCATTGAGAGTTTGAGAAAATCACTTAGGAGAAAACCTTCCAAAGAACGATGGTGCAAACTCGAAGCAATGCTAATCAGCCCACCAAAAACCCTCCTCAGGGAGAGACCAGCGCCACTGGAGGTCGTCGCCCTCCCATCAGCGTGATAGAGGCTTAGGCCCTCATCCAACGGATTAGGATCACGGCTGATCAGTTTAAGGAGGTGATGGCGGCCCTCACCCCAAACCAAGAGGTTGCAGTGGATGATGTCACAGGGGCGCAGGTTGGGGGAAGGCCGGACCTGAAGCAATCGAGGGGAGAAAGAAAAAGAAAACCAGGCGTTCCTAGAAGAAGAAGAAGGCGACTAAACCTAATGGAAAGACGATGATAGAGGACGATCTGTCTAGGTTGGACGAGGAAGGCGAGTCGTCCTCGTTTGAGAAGACTTCTGCTTTTGATTGACTGGTGGATCCCAACCAGAAGAAGCCTTGAACCTCCGCGTTCCATCGGCTACAAGATAACCGGTCAACCCAGAAGGGCGACATGAGAGATAAGCTCAGGGAGAGAAGGGAGGAGTCCATGGTGACGTCCAAGGCCCATTCGGAGGGAAGGCGCAAGGCGATCATGAACAAGGACACGGTCGAGCTATGGAGGATGTTTGACCGACTGGAGGAGCGGCTTGACGCTCAGAATCCCTACTGCCAGGCAGTTTTAAATGAGGTAACCCCTTCTCAAAAAGGGTGATGTTGTGCCCTCTCCCTGACAACTTTAAGACCCCCTAGATCAAGGTGTACAATGGGACGACCGACCCCCAGGACCACCTGGCAGATTTGCAAGCAAATGTGGTTATGTACGTGTACCCAGAGGAGATCCAATGTCGATGTTTTTTAGCAACACTGGAGGGGCAAGCATATGAGTTGTTCCACAAGTTGCCTAGGGGGTCGATCGACGAATGGAAGGACTTGGTCCACAAGTTTTTGGAGCACTTCGTGTCGAGTCAGAGGCAAAAGCTCCCCTACTCCCACTTGGTCAATGTCAAGATCTAGAAGTGGGGAGCAACTTCGGGAGTTTATCATCCGATGGGAGAAGGAGGCCAGGGATGTCCAAGGAGCAGACGACCAGACTCTGATCGCCATGCTCTAAGCCGCACTGCCCCAAGGGATGTGCGCAAGGAGCTACGGCAAAATCCACTCCCTACATAGCAGGAGATGTTGGCTAAGGCGAAGTACCTATCATTGGAAGAGGAAGATGATGAAGCACCTGCCCATAAGGAGAAGAAGAGCGCTCAGCCAGCAAGCTAGGGCAGAAAGCAAAAAGATTTTGAAAGGGGACCAAACCCTACAGGCTAGCAGGCAAGCATACTGCCAGTCCACGCGGTCCAGACTTTACCATCCCCTCCTCGTAGTCGGGAAAGCTACAACGTCCAGGACGCCCCCAAATACTGTGAGTACCATCGTAATAGCACCCAAAATACATCGGAGTGCGTTACGTTGAAAAAGCAGATGGGTCAGTTAGTTGATCGCTAGAGGGTCACCACCTCATGCGGAGAGGCAGGCGCCTAGGAACATGACGTGGAGGAGACCGGCAACCACCTCTACTGTGGTCACCAATGGGGAGGGGCAGCTAGATGGAAGAAAGGCACTTGGGAAGAGATTGTGAAGATCTTGATGAAGATGAGAGGCAGAATTGACGACACTTGGGGTGTCGATTTATCATGGGAGGCCGAAATCGGGAAGAGAAGTCCCTTGGGAAGCATGGCCAGCTTGCTGCGGAAGACCTGCTGGGCCTGAAAGAGTCCACATTGGAAGGATTTCTTTGCTTTCTCAACCCACCAGTCTCCCTCGGGCTTGGTCACGACCCACTTGTGGACCAGCTTATTCATATGTCCCATGGCAATCGCAGCGAACTTGGGGGAAGCCTTGAAAGTCTCAACCGCCTCCTCCAAGAGACGGGCCAAGTCGCCCTTCTCAGCCTCCAATTGGCAGCTCAAGTCAACCTTCTCTTCCTCCAGCTCGACCACTCGGGCAGAGATGGACCCCACCTCGGAGGACAGTAAGTTTTTCTCCTCCTCCAACCAAGCAGAGCAACCTTGCAGGTCGCGATTCTCCCTCTCGAGGGTCGAGCTGTGACTCTTTTCCTCCAACAGCTCCCTCGCGAGGTTGGAGCTGCGACTCTTCTTCTCCAATAGCTCCTTCGCGAGGCGGGCGACCTCGTCTCGTAGCCCCTTCTTCTCGACCTCGGTTGCCTCTTTCATCTCATCCAAGGCAGACTAGTGGGCGTGCGTCCGGCTAGCAATCTCGAGTATCCAAAGGGAAGCCTATGCCTAGACATGAAGGGTCGAAAATATGACAAGACACAAAACAATAAAGTAGAAGAGAAAGGGATTGCCAAGGGGGGTACCTGGCCGAACATCAAGAGAACCATGTCGGCTAGGTCGCGAAGGGAGCTGGAAGAGACGCAGGCCCAATCGTTGGAGGGAAGCATGATCGCCGTCTCCACCAGAAAATCCTCCAAGCCCAAGGACGGTGGGGGATGCTGAACTTCGTCGATCCACCCTCGGCCTCCACGTCAACTGTCAAGGAAGGCGGAGTGGAAGGTCACTCCGAAGAGGCGTCTCGGGTCGCTCTCGACAAATCTCTCCCAAGAGCCTGCATGCGGAGCAGAGAACTGACCACCATTGCCCCCGTGTCCACCACGAGAGTTGGCTCTTCTCGATCCTCTAGCTCAATCACCACCTGGTCGAACTAGGAGTGATCCTCGTGGCTCGAGGCCGGACGATGCTCCTCGCCTTGGAGGGGCTGCGTCCCTCTTTCTCTTCTTCCCTCCCATGAGGCGGAGCAACATTAGTTGCTTGTCCATCTCATCCTCTAATTCTTCCCCTTTCTCAACTGAAACACACAAAGCGGTTAGCATAAAATTGGTAACGTCGAAAGGAGTACTTAGCTAAGGGGTGGGAGGACTTACCAAAGGGTTCAGAATCGGCATTGCTCCCAGGGAGATCCCTCAGCAAGGCTGGCTAGTGGCGATGATTATCCCAGACGAACTCAAACCTAAGCTTGGCAGGGACTCCTCGGTGACCACCGATCTAATCTCGACGGCGCCCCCACCGAAAAGCTTCTTCGTGTCAGCCAAGATCTTGGTTGTTTCCGGAAGTGGCGCGCCGTGAAGGAATGATGGGTGCCCAGAACCCGTGAAAGGAGATTCAGGCCCCGTAGAAACAAAGACAAAGAAGGGCTTCCAATCCTTGGTCAATCCCTTCTTGTCACTGGTAAAGACATTGCTCGACCGTTGGGAGAGACAAGCGTAAGAGGCCCAGTCCTTGTGGCCTTTGGCAAGCTTGAAGGTGAGCAAGAAATGGTCCAGGCTGGGGGTCACCTTGGCCTCTTGACATTTAATCAAATAGCTCGTGATGTACGTGAGAGTTTGGGACTAGTTGGCAAGGGAGGAGATCCACTTCGTTAAGGAACTCCACCAACAGAGAGTGGAAGCGAATTGGTGAATATAGGGATGGAAATAGAGTCTAGCGGCAGTTTTATCAGAGCAGAGTGGAAGGCGAAAGAGCAAGTTATGATTGTTTTTGAAAGAAATCGTGCCAACCGCCACCCGAATACCAAGGAACGGCTTGGATCCATTGATAGGAGTCACGCGTGGATTTCAACAACTCCCCATCCCTCAACGTGGCCGCCTGAGGAATGAGGAGTTGGGGGGCTTGTGATGGGCCGATACCTGACAGGCGGCCCAAGTCTCGTGCCCAAGAGGCGTTCAGGTACCCATGGGAGTGTGTGCTGGTAATGGGCCGACCTTAATGTTTGGGCCTGGACCGACCCGAGCTGAAGCAGCCTGGGAGATCCAAAGTGGAGAAGGAGGCGCGACTAGGTTGCGGAAAAGTAGCCGAAGGAAGGGGATCGCACAAATCTCGGATTAGTTCCCATAAACTGTAAACTACCATAATTACGTAGAAAGAACATATATAAATAGGGAGGACCCGAACGGGAAAACTCAAGCTAAACCTAGTGTATAATTCCATAATTCTCTAGTTCTCGTTCTTGATAATTCTTACGATCCGCCGTTCAAGTCGGATTATTTGGTGGATTTATTGTCCATCACAAGGGATATTTCTTTTGATGAGTCCATATTTCCCTTTGTTGTTTCTCAAAAGCTCACTTCTCAACCTAAACTTAATTACCAAAATATTGATGTTGATTTCCCCATTCTTGTTCCATCCTCCGGGCAGCCACCAGTCCAAATAGTCGGTAACGGTGGGACTGTAAGCCCGGACAGTCCTTCATCACCACCCCAACCCCACCTCCTCCGCCACCTTTTCCACCCGTCCGAGCCCGAGGTCCTCCTCTTCACTTGTATGATTACTATTGCCATACAGACGGGACGGTGACTCCTGCTACTTTTATTTCTTCTTCATGTTCTTTAGGTACTTGGTATCTTATTCTTAATTTTCTTCATTATGAGAAATAACATGGCAGGTACCGTGGATATCTAGTTGTTGTCTCCTCCCATGAGGTCCCTTGAAATTTTAAGGAAGCTATACAACACGCCAATTGGCATTCTTCCATGCAACATGAAATCACGACGTTGGAGAATAATAATACTTAGGAGATAATAGACCTTCCTCATGATCGGAAGGATTAAGGGTGTCAATGGGTGTTTCATACCAAGTTTCGCTCAAATGGAACTAAAGAGCGTTATAAAGCTCATCTGATTGTCTTGGGATAATCACTAGGAATTTAGTACTAATTATACTGATACCTTCACTCTTGTGGAAAAAATGGGAACGGTAAGTATTTTATTATCTGTTGCTATGGCTAAGGGTTGGAAGATTCATCAGCTTGATGTTAATAATGCCTTCTTAAATGATGATTTGATTGAAAAAGTGTATATGTGTTTGTCACCTAGTTATTCTATTCCAGGGAAATATGTCATTTGCGTAAATCTTTGTATTGTTTGCGTCAATCTCCTCACAACTAGTTTTATAAGCTTAACTCTGCTCTACGACACTGGGTTTTAAGCAAGCACATAAGGATCACACTTTATTTATTCTTCGTTGTGGATTTGATATTCTCACTATTTTGGTGCGTGTATGTTGATGATATCTAGTTGCAAGCAATAATTCTTGCATGTGTGCTTCCTTCAAATGGTTCTTCGACTAATTTTTTAGCCTAAAGACTTGGGCCCTAGCTGTCATTTTTTTGCATTGAATGTGCTCGTTCTCCTTTGGGGATGGTCATTTGCGAACACAAATATAGTTTGGAAATCTTACATGAAGCTGGTTTATTAAGCTGCAAGCCAACGGTGACGCCATTGCCGACCTCTCATGGCTTGAGCTTATCAATCGCCCCACTCCTCCACGATCTAGCCTGCTATCGTCGTCTCATGGGCCGCGTGATTTATTTGACTATCACCCAGCCGGATATTTGTTGCGTTATTCATGTGTTATCTAAGTTTATGCAGGCATGCACTTTGCATCACATGAATATAATGCTGTTATGTGTGTCCTTCGTTATATCAAAGGCCATCCTGGTCAAGGAATTGTTCTAAGTACTAACAGTAATCTACAGATCACCGTGTATTTCGATTTAGATTTGGCTAGTTGTCCCTTGTCTCACTGGTCTGTTAGCGGGTATTTGATTCTGCTTGGTAATTCTCCTATGTCTTGATAGACCGAGTAACAAACAATTGTGGCCCGATCATCTGCAGAGGCTGAATACAGGGCCATGAAGAACGCTTGTGTCAAAATTCGCTGGATGTGTGGCATTCTTGGAGCATTAGGTGTTCCGATTCTATATCCTCTGCGGTTGTACTATCATAACCAGTTCGCTCTGTATATTGTAGCTAATCTAGTGGTTCACGAATGTATGAAACATATTGATGTTGATTGTCATTTGTGAATGTACTCAGTGACACGAGGTGTCCAGGCGTTATGTTCCTACTCGTTATCAATTAGAAGATATTTTTACAAAATTATTGTCAAAACTTATTTTTGATGTTTTATTGTGTAGCATTGATGATATTCATGCACCAACTTGAGGTGAAGTGTTAGTGGGTATTTGTAAGTATGTTCTAGAATATTGTATTGGACCCATGTTGTCAGCTCGTTTATGTACTTGTATACATATACACTTGTTTGTGATTAATGAAAAGGCAGAACAATTTTTGCTAAAATTCTACACATATAAAATGTAGAATAGATTGGTTAGATTATGCACATCATAAATGTGATTATAATTAAACCAAATATTAAATGTATTTATTATAAATAAATAACTTAGAATAATAAAATATTATAAAAGTGTATTTTATAGAAGGCACAATTGATAGTAGTGTAAAATAAATTTGACACTATCACTTTTTTCACTATAGGTTGTAGATGCTCTCATCATTAATATCTCTATTTATAGATTGACATATTTTACGACTCACACTGTCACGGGGCGACCAAGATTTTGGCTGGAGGACATTTTAAATAAAATTTAAAAATGTATTTCAGAAATTTCTTACTCAAAGTTAATTCAATACTTTCAAGGATTGTGAGGGAGAAGATTCTTGAAAATTCTAGAAGTTGGTCAGGTTGCATTAAAATTGTTGTATAATTTTCTAGCTAGAGAAATCTAAAAATATCTAAAATAATTGTGTAGAAGAGTGTAAAAGTTTTCAGAAAATATTCTAGAGTCCTTCTATATAAGTGTATGGAAAGATGTAAAATGTTCTAGAATATTTTAGAACTACGTGAGTTCTCTAGATTTTTCTAGAATATTATGGAAGTTTGTGAAGTTTTTTAGACAATTAAAGAGAGGTAGAGATATTAGAATATTTTAGAGAAGGCTAGCCTTGGTATGCACAACTCTATTCTTTTGAGCATATACTCTTAACTTCCAACATTTTCCATCTTTTTTCAGTTTTTCCAGTTCTTCCAGTTTTTCCAATCCTTCTAGTTTCTCCCAACTTCTATCAGTTTCGTCCAATTTTTTCCAACAATGACTTAAAAAATTATTTAGATTTATTTTTATAGATTATTATTGTTATCTCAATAAAATAAAAAAAATTAATTTAATGTCATAGTTTATTAAAAGTTGTATCATGAACATAAATTTAAGTTACCATAATAGGATCACATAAATTATTAAAATCCTAAATGATTTAGATTATAATTTTCTTCGTGATTTTGAAATTTTTGTTATCTATGTTTGTTTGAAATGTGTTCTTGCCAACGTTTTAAAATTTTGACCATAATAATTATGCACTCTATTTTCTTTCATTAAGTCTTACATAAATTTTAAATGTATATACACTAATAATTTTCATAATGTGCATATTTTAAGCATTTGCAAAAAATATATGTTAATACATCAAAGAGTATAAATAGAAGTGAACGTGGAGGTCTTACCTGGAATCCTGAACCTAAGAAGACTTCTTGAGAGTGTTTGCGAGTGAAATGAGAAGTGATCCCAATAAAAAGATTACGTGAAGTGAGCCACTGATGTAATTTTAACTTCTCTTGTACATTTTTCTACTTCCTCCGTCCCAAATTATTTGCAACATTTGTTTTTTCAGCAGTCGCGGGAACTTTTGTTTATTTCTACATTTTCATTGGTTATTTGATAAAATAAAATATTCTTGACACCTCTTATTTCGAAGAACTTTTCATGTAGTTTTTTGATATGTAAATTTTATTTTTTATTTTTATACCAATATGTAAATAAAATGAATTGAAAAAACTTGATATTTTGCCTCGAGAATACAAGTGTGGCAAATATTTAGGGACGGAGGGAGTATATAATATGAAATCATTTTTATGAAGTCGTGTCTTTGTATTATTGAGTGTGTGTACAAAAGTTTGGTTGTGAGAATTGAATAGGGAAAAGAGGTCGAGGTACATAATACTTTGTCTGACAGATTTGATTTATTCCAAAACACAACAACAACAACAACAACAACAACAACAACAACAAGTTGGATCCCACAAAAGAAGGGACTAGGAGGCTGTGTTCTCGAAAGTAGAGTGACTGTTTCTTAGAGACTCTCGGCTCAATGCAAGCTGTACAAATAAAAAATATAACGATCAAGAGTTGTACAATTGTGGTCCTAAGGTTCAAATATGAAATGTGGACGTTCTCACATGTTCTTGGGCTCATAATTAAATTTCTTTTTTTTTTCAATAAAGCCCACTACAGATACTCGTTTAATGTATGAAAATACATAAAATGAGCATGAACTTAAAGATCAGGAAAGAGAATTAGTCAACTAGATGATGAAAGGGAAGACATGGAAGTTCATAAATAGAATACTCCTCCATATTTGCTTCTCCTTTATGGAAAGTCCATCTTTAGCCAAATTAAACCACCACATGCTCCACATTATTTGCTTCTCCTATATAATATACTTGTATTATTATTACACAACAACAACAACAACAATAATCTATCTGCATTATATTAGGACCTCAATATATTCCATTTTGTGCCGCGGCCAAAAAATTAAAGCTAATTGTGTAGTAGTAGTAGTAGTAATGGCTAATAAGAAGCATATACGAAGCATGTCTTCCTATACTGCGCTTATTCTGAATATTGTGGGAACCATACTTGCGATCGCCGCTGGAATAGTACTCCAAAATCACAAGGCAAGTATCTACCTGATCTATATACACACACACTCAACCATTCCAACATTTGTTTTACGCAGAATTTAAAAACACAAATCACATTAGAAATAATTCAATATCGAATCGATTACCCAGTTCAACTTGTGATGAGTGCGTGTACTTCTTCGATCTCTTCGATCTAATCTGATATATTCTTGAAACCTTGCTTGTATGTTAAAATTTCTGCACTTTTACACTGTGCTTATTGATTCAAGATGTTTAGAAGGAAAAGAAAGAAAAAAAATATGATTTTCTCATATCATTGAGTGGAATTTTGTTTTTA